TCGAGATGACTATAAAAAACACCTTTTTGAGATTCATTAACGGCTCTAATGCCGGTTTTTAACCTTTCCTAAAATTCTTCGATGGAATTGGTGTTGGTCGCTGTGATAGGATCCACGAAATCACTGGTGTGGTTGTACCTATACCTAAGTCATCTACTGGAACATGTTTTAAATTTAAACCTGTTGCTATTACCTCTCCTTTCTTGAAAACTATGGAAAAGTTGCTCCTAATTAATCTTTAACCTTCACTTAAAGCGCTTAACGATCCAAAACAATTCGCCTATAAACACAGTAGAAGTACTTTAGATGCAGCTGCAGTCTTGTATCATAACATTGTCTCTAGCTTAGAGAAGTGGGCTGAATTTGTTCGCTGCACCTTCCTAGAATACACATCTGCATTCTATTCAGTGACTAAGGGTAGTTGGTTTAATAAGTTTGGTGGAACTCAAACTGAGCGGTTGGTTATGAAATGGCTCCATTCCTATTTCTCAGGAAGAAAGCAGTACACTGTATATCAGAGAAAGTCATCCACTTCATTGCTTAGTGAGGCTGGTGGCCCTAGAGGTGCTGTCCTTTCTCCTTTTCTGTTTTCTTTCTTCTTGCATGACTGACCTCACTCTGATGAAATGAACTTTGTTAAGCATGCTGACGACCTAAATATTTCAGTGTCTGTTAACTCCCAGCTAGACTGTACTAAGATGAAGAGTTTTCTATCAGGAGTTAGCAAATGGTCTTCGCCTAAATCCTTCCAAATATCAAGCTGTTAATTTTAGTTTCTGACGTGAATGAAAGTTAAATGAAGCTGATCATTTCTATGACCACTGCAAAATCGATGACAGTGATATAGAAATCAAGTCTGACGTTAAGTAGGTTGAACAAATCCTTTCTTCTTATATATTCTGGTCTTCCCATCTCTTATCGATCTCTAAAAACATTTTCTGCCTGAATTCTTACGCCATGAAGTAGAGGCACCCAGGCATAACTCAACCCCTCCTCATCTTAAAGTTTGTCAACTCGTGTATTTTACCTATATTACTTTACTGTTCACCCTCATTCCTTCCTGGATTCCTTATATAAGACCATGTCATACTTCATAGAACTCTGAAGACTGTCAGTAGGACGAGTGGTATCCCATAGGGCATTATGGTTGATATCGCCATTGACGGGCACTTGATTTCATGCAACAAATTTGCCAAAGGGATTTTCAGACTGCGAACATCTACTTTACCCACAGCCTTCACCTTGTGTCCCCTCAGTTAGAACAAGATTTCACTTCAAAAGATTTTATGCACGTACTTATAAGTATAAAAATTTCACTATACCATACTTGGCACGTATTTTATTTGATGGAAATAGTGTCAGGGACGAACTAACTGACCTTCTTTGCACTAGCAAATAAAATATTCTCTTCACCCTTATACCACCAAGCTTCATCGTTTTTGTTCTCCTTGTATTTATAATCCTCTCAATTTCTTTGTATTTTTACTTACTTTTTCATCAGTGTGCGTCGGTAGCACAGTGGTTAGGACTCCCGCCGACCATGCACGTGGTCCGGGGTTCGATCCCCTGCCGACGCACAACTGATATCTATGGGCGGCTTGCAAAATTTGGGCTACCGATATCACATGCTGAAAATTCCATACCTGCACCCAAAATACAGTCTGGAATCAAGCTGTAATCAAAAAAATAAAAAATTTAGCTGTATAGTAACTGTTTTTTCGTCTTTCCCTTCACCATGTTATATCAACAGAACATTAGATTTAATAATCTAACATGCCAAAATTTGCAGACTGAATCGATAGTACTGTTTGAAACAAACCCACTGTTGTTATTATTATATTTATCATTCTCGTTTTGTACTTCGAATATTTTTGATTTTATTCTATAAATGAGGAAGAATTACCCTGGTTAATTTTATTTTAATTTCATTTGTATTTTCAGTAAATTAGATGCAAAACTGTGACAAATGCTGAGAATTTCATTCAGTATTATATGTACTCATTTTGGAATACAGAAAATCATTATTATTATAATACCTCAAGTGACACAATTTGAAAAATATCTTTTTACCTAGTGTATAACCAGGGAATCAGGGAAGTTCATCAAGTCAACTGAACCTTAGCTGTTACACCTTCAATGATCAGCTTGTTTACTTCTGAAGATTGAAACAAATGATGGATATTCAGGTCTCCAAGGGACAAGAGCCCAAGGATGGCTTCTTGTTACATGTCCAGACTGAGAATTCAGCAGGTAATGTGGCCGAAGCCGAGGTCTTCCAGGATAAATGGTCGCACAGAAATCACGAGTTATTTTTATTTGAAGCCAAGCAAAAACGAGCTTGAAGCCTTCCAAGCGGCCTGGTCAGCTTGTTTTCTAGACATATTTATGGATTATAGCCCCGAAATACAAGCTAGAGTTTGCACCGCTCATACTATTGCTTCAGGCGTATCTACTCGCTATATGCATCAAATCTCAACTACTTAGACCTAAAAGCAAAACAGAAAGAGAGATTTGCAGAGTGTTGTTTGCTTTGCGTAAACTGAGGAGTTGGGGCAGAGAAAGCCATATTTATTTGTTATAGAAGATGAACTTTTGAAGCCGAAATCAGCTCGCAGTCATTGGCTATTTTGTAGCTCGTGGTGGAAGAAATATGAGGAAACTGATACCTGTCTGGTATAAGAGCTTTAAAGAGAAGCACGGGCAATTAAGTGGGTTGGCCAATCGCAGTATTACTCTACTTCGCAAAATGCTGGGTAAGCATCCTTATCCTGTACCGTATGGATGTATTAGCTATAATCGACATCTTCATGTTGTCAAGATTCGAACTAAAGTTGCATCAGTTAACAGCATGGTCCAGCTGATTTCAAGCCGACACTCGATCGGAAACCTCAGAATTAGCCCCAAAAGATTGGTAAGTCCCGAGGCCGCTCTTAAAAATGAGCTGACACAGGTTCTCTACCATAAAGAATGCTATTTTGTCTCAGAGATAGTAAGCGATTGAAAAATTTAGAAAGACGAGTCGAGTAACCAAGTAGAAACTATATTCCTTTTACTTTCTGTAAGATTCTGTCTCCTCGTCAAACGATATTGATTGACGAAATCCCCTCCGCTTCTTTGACTGGTTTCTTCTGTTTCAACTGTCCACCAGCTTACTCCTGAAGTGAACGTTCTAACTAAAATACTGCATCACACAGAATATCATTTGGTGATTTGGATAACTATTTTGAAAGGAGAGTTAGTTGCTAAGAGGACAGAAGAACTACTTCTAGAGAGATCTTTCTTATGCGATTGAGTGAGGCACTCTTATCCCAATTTACCCTAATTAGTCGTTTGCTACGGTGCCTGCTAAAAGAGTAGAATTCAGTCACACTAACCCTGATTTTTTAGGAGTTGGGTATATTACTAATCTTAGTACTACAAGCCGATAGTCGCAATACCTGTATTCTCGAAGAGCAAAGTTGACGTATTGAATGATCACATCACGTAATAACACTCCCAGATAACTCAGTGCGCTTTTCGAATTCAGACATTTGGGTTCATCCGTCTTTCCCAATTTAGCAAATATCCCACCACTGTTGCCTCCCTAAAGGTCGGTCGGGTATCGTCACAACCAGGCGAGAGATGGACTCGCAGTCCCCTACGAAATTCCAAAACAAAAAGAAATAGACCCAAAGAGAATTATATTTATGATATACTGTTGAAGAACTGCAAGATTCTTGTCCTATTGAAGAAAACGTATTAGATAAAGATGATACGAATATTAAAATATGAAGTTATCCGGCATTCAAACACCGAGAACACTATAGCTGAACACTAAGTCGCCTGCATTTAGCAAAACGTGCATACAAACAAAAATTGCACAACAATTCACTGAAAAACAAGCGACCTAATTAACACAAAATGTAAAATGGTGTATAAAGTGCAAATCTGGTGAAATATTAGACGAAACAAGAATATTTCACTCAGTCAACGCTCTTCTCATAATAATACTTAACCAGGCTTTGTGGTTTGACTACTGAAAATTCGCAAGGACTTCAACCAGATAATCAAAGGTGAAGTCGGAAAAGTGTCATATATGTTTCCCAATGGTTATTTAACTTTCACTTTTCCTCCTCCTTGTATTTTAATCATTTCACTGGGGATATGGGAAGTAGGAATAGCATTTAGATATGAAATTCCTGCTGCAACTTATGTCATGGTGATTAGAGCGACCACGCATAACAATTAGAAAAGTCCTCGGGGTGACTTAGGGGTAAATTACCAACCGGGAACTTAGACTCTCCATTCCAAAGCCATAAAGTGTTGTCATGGTCTGGAAATTTAATTTTTAGAGATGCTATGTCTCTAGTCGTTAACTATAGTTGCCATTGGAAAGCGTTACTGCAAGATTGAATGGATGCTATAGTCCACTTGAATGTAGTGATAAGGTTTTACTTACACCGTTAGTGCAAATTTTGAGGCTGAACAAGCAGAGGAAATATTAAGAAATGAAATAATTACAAGGTGTTATGTGTCTTGTCTGTGAGCGTGTAATCACCGAAAGTGACATGGCCTACAATTCGCAAATTTCACAATGAAATAGCTTTTCAAGGAGACCTTGGGTGGAGACATCTAACCAAAAGCCTATCAACTAGCTGTGACATCTTCACTGAGACAGACGTGACCGATAAAGGCACTTAGTGTTAAACGTTCCTGCATACACTTAGAGGCTATCAGATAAGAAGGGCCTTCCAAACAATGGCGGCGAGAGGCTTTTTGTTGGAGGCTTGGATTAGGTTATGTACAAGCTCAATCGCGCAGGCTGTAGATGGGGAGTACCCGAAATGAACTAATGTACCTCCTTTTTTTTCATTCAGCAAGGCTACATCAGTCGTGAGGACAGATTATTGTGAAGTTATCTGGTACCATTCTTAAACAATAAGAAACCAGCTACAGGAACTTGAAATACGTACAAAAGCCCATCAGAAATATATTGAACATTGGATATCTATTTAAGTACGCTAATAGTATAAATTGCGCGATAACTTTGGGAAACAAATTAAAATAGTAAGTTATGGGCTTTTGTAAGATATTCTTTTGCATTTTTCACCTACACTTTTGTTAATTATCCTCACGACTTAATTCAACAAATTAATTTGTGAGTTGTGTTCTGTGGTGGTAAATTTCCCTGACTAGAACACGGAAGGTTATCATTTCCTTTAAACGAGATATCATCCTCACATTTTTGGTTGTGTTAATGAAAATTTGCTAATAAATAGTAGTGATATCATAAATATTTCAACTGTTTAACTTCTGAAAGCACTTCATATCTTGCTGATTCAGAATCTCATTTGCATTCACAATAGGTATGAATATATCTATATATATAAGGCACCATTGTACATGACCTTCTACAGCCAATAGGATTATTATGTGGTTTAATCAAATCAAATTACGCCTTGTGTCTTTAGTTCATGAACTCAGATGCATCTAATGAGATCTACGACGATCGATATTTTTTGTTACTCTGTGAAGATTGAACTAGTTTTGGTTGGTGAAACATAGGTTTGTAGGGGAAGCTTGATGAGACTACTGATCTTTTATAAAGACTGAGATTTTTGTGTAGATTAAGAATTAGAAACGGATTCATGATTGGATCTTATGACACTATAATGTATAGTCACCTTTTTATGGTTTTTTGACTTTTGTTTCTCCCTAACCATGATTAATTGCTCAAGTACAGTGGTTAATGCTATCAGGATGGTTGTTATAGTCTGAGTTCTCTTTCATCAATATATGTATACAGCTTACTAAGTCAATCACCAGCATTTAAATGTATGAAAGAAACATGTGGTTTTTCGATGGAAATAATAATAAAAAATAATCAGTCAATATCGTGACTTAAATTCACACTTTTATGTAGGAAGTCAAGGTAAAACGTTGGTAGTGACTTTCATGCAAATATCATTATGGGAGGAGGAAATAAATTAGCAAATATATTGTATTGTACAATGCAATGTCAAACCAGCAATCTACAGAAATTATTTAAGTGTAATTCGAAGGTTTTGAGAACACTCGTCAAATTTGAGAAACACATTGCTGTTATTCATTAACTACAGTTAGTCCATGTAAAGTGTTATTTGTAAAATGGGAGTGAAATCTGTCGACAACATAATCTCCTTTCTGGAGTTCTGAAAATCAAATATCTTTATGAATCTTTGCATGCATAAATAGGATGGGTTCCGGAACGGATTTAAATGTCTTCCAGGAAATGCTTATGAGTGCGTGAGGATCATGAAGTTGCCATATCTGAGAAGCAATTTTGAAGGCATTTTTATGTTACTGCAATGTTTTTGCCCGAAATATTGCATTTCCTTTATCTGACAATTATGTCAGTTTGAGGTAATAGTCTGTTAACAAAGTAATGACTTGAGTGACATTGCTTGTTTGAGTAATTGGCTGTTATGCATATCAACATTTTCTAGACGGTAAATCTTCACGGAATGCATGTATGCCCATACCATTATCTAGTCCATACTATCTTTTGAATCTTATATTCTGATGTAGTTTTCATGCAAGTAATTTGTATCTTGTCATTAGAAAGCCTACAATGTGATGCAATTACTTTCGGTTGTTTGTAATTCTAGAATCTCATATCTCCATAATCATGTGTGTTTCCTTTGAACCTGTGTGGCACTACTTTGAAAAGCTTTTCGCTTTGTTTGGAGCGTCGGTGGCACAGTGGTTAGGACTCTCGCCACCATGCATGTGCTTCGGGGTTCGTTCCCTGCCGACGCTGAACTGATATCTGCAAAATTTGGGCTACCGTTATCACATGCTGAATATTCCATACCTGTACCGAAAATTACGGTGTGGAATCAAGCTGTAATAAATAAATACATTTTCATGCCTTTTGACTCAAACTGACACAGTCCACTATAATTTCGGTGTAAAAGAATTTATCAAATCATATTTTTCAGAGTATGTTATTGTCTAAAATAAGTATTCTTAGTGTTGATCCTCATTTAATTGATTGCTAAAGAAAGGACTGACAGAAATGAATTGACAAGAAGTAAGTTTAATTTCCTCACAAAATTCACTACCCTTGTGAATACAAATGTTTCCTATAGTAGAAATGCAATTAGTGTTGTAGTAAGACACCATTCAATAAACCTGGAATCCGAAATTTTATTGTTTTCGATTCCGAAGACATGAGCAAACACTTCTGAATAGAAGTAGAATGAGGGATTATTCTCTGATCTTTGTGGAATACACATTGTGTGGGTAGGTCGCACATGTTGTTGAAAGCATGTGAGCTTCTAGGACTTCGAGGAAAGCAGCGACATCTTCTATTTGTTGGCTTCCTCATCCTATTCACTTCATAACAGTAAGCAAACCAACATTGGCAACAATAAATTCAGTTACATTGATCTGCTAAGCTGGAAAATCTATCATTACTGCAAGATGAAAGTTAGGGTTATTGGGTACATTCAGTGATTCGAGAGTCGACGTTGAGCTATGGGTTAACAATGAATCCTCATGTCTCAGTTACTCTAGAAAATTATGACTTAGAAGATGGCTATAGCCATGACTATTGAAATGTTTCTGTAAGATTCGAGGGGCAACTGGCAAAAATCTGCTTTCTCTGGAAGCAGCCGGCTGGGACATCACCGCGGTGGTTTCCTCCTCACGAGCCACTTCAAAACAATGTGGAGTGCTGAGGCCAAATATTTTTAGTCTACTTGGTGACGTGAAGCCTGGGAGACGGAATGGTTTGACTCATTAACCTTGAACCCTACGCCACTGGCAGGAACATGGCTGACACACGTTACTACTAATATCGAAGTTAGTATACCATAAGGAAGGTGTTGGGGTCGACATATACGTCAGCAACCAGTCTGCATGCGTACCAACAACATGTCCGTCACTTACTGAACTCTCAAACCCAATATGACGTCACTTCACAGTTTTCCGTAGCAAACATCCATCACTTAATGAACTCTCCACCCTCGCGGTTTTGCAGTTCATAGTCTGCGTCATCGGACATCTGTTAGATGGCATTTATCGGCCTTCTTTATGCGAAGAAGAACAGGAATCGCAATTCCTCGACACTATTTTGCCATAAGGCCTGTAGGTTATGATTAATTTATGGATCCAATTTTTAATCTAGTATGAGAGTCGGCTAAACGAGCGTCCGACTGAAATCTTCCGCATACCGTCAAAGGATACAAATCAGTTGAGAACATAGGCACGACACCACTAGTGGTAATTTGTCCCAACCTGTGACCATTTCTTGTAGATGGTGTTGAAATCACAATTCTTTCAAGCATTATAATCCTGGTTATCTGAGAATGATTAGGGGGGGGAATGACAAACTATCCTATCTGCATAATAGCAGAGGCGACTGAATAAAGTGAGAAAACTTTCGTCTGATGCAGTATAGGTCTCAATAAATTGTACTACATCACTGCGTTTATTTCAGTCAGAATTCGGTTCCAAATCCAATCATATCCGATTATCTTAACACAGTGCGGTGTATGGAGCTTCATATGGTCGCGTCCTAGAATCACTAAATATTACTCGATTTTCAACAGTATATTGTCATCCTGTCGTAAATGCCGTGCTCGCCCTTACACTGATGATGTACAGATTTGAAGAGCGATAAAAAGTTTGAAAGGGACAAAAAGTCTCCAGACAGTTCTAGAAACTTTGGAAGACTAGTTACACGTCAGTGAAATGCACTTCAAATCAAAATAAGAATTCATCCTGATCAAACTACGAACACCGAAACTGTACAGAGTGACTTAATTTGTCTGGTACATAATCAGGGCATCATTGGGATCGTGTTGTGGTGGAAAAGGGGATTCAAATATCAATCACTCACATGATACAGTTAGGTAGCTAGTTTAGCTCAAGCTTGAGCCATTTCAGCGGGCATAACACAACTAATATACAATGGAATATTCAGGTATGGGTAGAATAAATTTAGAGTAGACCCACACTATGAAGACTTATAGTTACTGAGATCACTGGAAAGGGCTTTGTTCCGGTAGACTGGTGATTATTGTAGTAAAATTATGGAGTTCAGAGACGGGGCTAAGGTCGCAACGGAAATCAAATCAGTCACCTCACTGGATGAGCTGTTATTGTTGCAAGAGTATTAGAATTAAAGTGGGTATTCATCTCTCTGTGAATGTAGTTAGATTTAAGGTTTAATTAAGATTTATTATATAAGCAGAAAGCAGTAAGTTGTGGGTCAGAAATCTGTTTGTCTGTAAGCGTGTCTGACTTTAAAGGATCTACAGTTATCATGCCCGATTACTGAGTCATATTTACTGTGATCAAATGTGGATCTGATCGCTTATAAAGCAGACATATTTAAATAACCTTCTGTTGGATGTGTAAGCGCGTGAAGATAGCGACCGAGCTTTACGTAAACAAGTCTGGGCAGTCTTCTTACCACTGCACAATCCCTTTTGAAAAGCTTGATGTCACTTCTACACTAATCTTCAGTTTTTGACGTGCAAACTCTTTTGTACCTGCCGTCCCATTGTTCATTTAGTGTGGAATTTTAGTTTTCCTGCTAAGTTTGTACCGTACTAAGGTTAGCGGGTAGTATTTGGTAAGAAATAGCACCACTAGGAGCACTACTGAAATTCTGCAGTCGTTTGGCGTATTCAAAGCTCCTGAACATCATTCTTTCAAGATATTACTGAAAGTTGAAGGCTTTACCACCGGAATTCACAAAGAACAGTTGGAGATTCAGCTATTTGTTTTGAAGTAAGGCGTCATATAACTTCCATTTTCTATCCATTTCTGATACGTTGCAACCGGCAATGATGTCATAGAAAGAAGACTTGACGTTTAATTTGTTGCATTCCTTACAAATGTCGCTAAAATCACTGCCACTAGTGATATGATAACCTGATTCACTAGGCAGCGCTTTTAGGTTCTTAAATGATATGTTTTCAGGATTTCATCATTAGCTGACATCTACTAGACAGGCATCGTAGAACTTAGGAGTACTGTACAGCTATTTCGTCGGCCTAGTCTGGGACTCTGCAGCA